GGAGACAGACTCACCACAGTCCAACTCAACCTTTGTGACTTTACAATGGTGGGAATGCGATGTGCATTCAGTAGAAGCCCTGCTTCAAACTTTGATCTTGGCTGGGCGCAGTGGCTCACGCCTGTAAGCCCAGCACTCTGGGAGGTGGAGGCAGGTGGATCACCTGAGGTTAGGAGTTCGAGACCAGCCTGGCCAACGTGGTAAGCCCAGCACTCTGGGAGGTGGAGGCAGGTGGATCACCTGAGGTTAGGAGTTCGAGACCAGCCTGGCCAACGTGGTTAAACACCGTCACTACTAAAAACACAAAAATTAGCTAGGCGCGGTGGCGCGTGCCTGTAATCCCAGCTACACTGAGGCAGGGGAATCGCTTGAACGTGGGAGGCGGCAACTGCAGTGAGCCAAGATCGCACCACTGCAATCCAGCCTGGGCCACAGAGCCATACTGTCTCAAAAAAAAAAAAAGAAAAAAATTTTTTTTAATAATCTTTTTCTGGGCTAGATAAGTATGACACTTTCTGACACTGGCCATCGACCACAGGATCACGATATAAACGACTATATTGCACAGTGTGCCGTGCTCAACACATTACATGCAAATATCCAGCACTTCATTACAAAATGGGTTTTGTGTTAAGATTTTGCACAACTGCAGAAATTTGGTGTATTATACAAAAGAAAACTGAACTCCGGGCAGCCTCTGAGATGCTCGCAATTAGCTAAGATGGTTCTAGAATTCCAGGGCCTCAACGTGCCCCACACAGGTCTTTCTCATGGGAAATACGATGTAACCACTGGTCCCAGAGGGCCAGGCAGATGCCCAGACAGCCTAACCCGCCTCCTGCCAGCCATTCCGGGGAAGACGCTACCGGAGCGGTGGCAGGGTAGGCACCGGTCATCTTGAACCTTCGGAGCAACCACTTACATTTGGCATCCTTTCGTCGGGCTGTGAGCAGAAAGTCCTTGATTTCCTCAATTTTCCGAGGCTGCAACACAAAGGAAGCGGGTAAACAGACAGCAAAGAGGCACGTCTTCCGGTGACGGTCCAGTCCACCAGCTCCTCCCGGCCTCCGGAGGCCCTGGGGAGGCTCTCTCGCCCTCGCCCCGGATCCCACGAACCCACACCGGGAAGGCGCCAGGCAGGGACCGTACTCACCATGGCGACAAGGCGCGCAGGGAGCTGGCGCGGACCGGGACCTGCAGGAAACAGTCCTTGGCGTTAACACGGCGCGGGGGATGGCAGTCAACCCCGCTTTCCCGCCCTCCCCCGAAATATCGCCCCCATCGCACTCCCTTTTCCTCCCCGACACCCTCCACGTGGACCTGGGGTCCCCAGATTTCACCTGGCCGTGGATTGCCCCAGATTACCCTTCTCACCCGCGTACCACTCTAGAGACACTCACAGCCAACAGCGACCTAGTAAAAGAACGAAAAAGGACGAGACTTCCGTTTCCGGGCAGTTAAACCCTCCCAACGGAGGAAACTGGATACGGTGCCTGCCGAGGGTCAAGACTCATGTAGGCGTTGGCACTTCCAATTTCAGCAGCCCTGCCCCCTCGTGGTCGAGGTCAACAGTGCAGCTCCAAGAATGGAATGGACCATCCTGGCTGCCGCCCTCCCTCCGACTCCCTCCTCCCACTGCTCCCCATCTCTTCCTTCTATGACCCCCGCCTCTTCCCCATCCACACTTCCTGTCTTCCCTCGCAACCTCCCAACCCTAGCCTGGCTTTGCTGGGTTTTAGTTCAGATTCAGTTCGAAGAGCTAACGCTTATTCTCCACGGCTTTCACTGGACCTGTGCACGGGACATCTGCACAGAGAATTCTTCATTTAATGGCAGAGACCGTCGTGTGCACCTTGTAGAACCTCTTGTTCTGGCGCCTCACGTTTTCTTCTTCCAGTCTCCTTTTTGGGACCTGAACCTGTCATGACCAGGGCCCTGGGATCTTCTTTCCGTAAGAGGGAGCGTTCCTGCCTGCTGCTTCCAGTTCCTTTAGGAATTGGTGTACAATGAAAGCAAGTTAAGGCCGGGCGCGGTGGCTCACGCCTATAACCCCAGCATTAGGGGAGGCCGAGGCCGGTGGATCGCTTGAGGCCAGGAGTTCGAGACCAGCCTGGGCAACCTAGTAAGGCCCCCCCCCACACCCATCTCTAGCAAAAATAATAATAATACTTCCAACAGCTGTGGCAGGGCTGCCCCTGGCTAAGTGTCTCACCTCTAGGGCTGATGGTGCAGCAGTGGGAGTTCTCCTGCTGTTGCCAGCTCTCACCACCACCCCAGAGGGGAGAGGTGGACTCAGGACTTGAACCCCTGCTGGGCAGATTCCCCAGTCCAGGCACCAGCCACTTCTTGGGGAGGCTTGGGCAGTTTGGGGAGGGCAGCCTTCCTTTCTCCCCCATAACATCCTTCAGGTTAGGCTCTTAGCAACGTGTGGTTATCGATTTTATTTTTATCCTCCACTTTTATTTTATTTCCAACCTCTCTACAAATGTCTACATTTTATTATATTTGTTTCCCCCAAATTTAATAACCACATGGCAGAATGTAATTGCTTCGTGCTTATTATTACAGAGCAGCCCTCCTGAAGAGAAAGAGCACTTTGCCGCGAGCTTTACTTAGAACTTATTTAACTTATGTTCCTTTCTTCCTCCCTCCTGCCCTTCCATTAACAAGCTCAGGCTGAGCACCTTCCTGGGGGTGCTGGAGATATAGGAACCAATAGACCTTGCTGCAGAGAGATCACAAAATACTGTAATAGCACTGAAGAGTCTTTTAAAGAAACTGAACGTTGTCTCTGCAACTGTAAATGTGTCAGGATTCCAGCAGTGGGAAAAGTTAATTGGCAAAAGCCTAATTTTAGATGCCTAAAGGTTGGATCCCATCTGAGAATCATGAGTGCTTCAGCTCTGACCTGAGGACTTTCCTGTACCTTAGAGCCTGGCTTTGCCAGCCCCTCCCATCTTAGGCGATGCCTTTCTGGTCTTTTCTACCCCACTGCTCCTCCACAAGCAACCACCCATTCAGCCAAGCCGAGGGGCCTCTTCATGTGCGGGGCACTTTTGGCCCTCCAGGTATTCGCTCTGGTGTCCACTCTGATGCCAAATGCTACTGGTCCTTCCGAGCTCAGCTCCCGCCTCCCCTTTTTCAGGCAGGATCCTTCACCCCTGACTTATGTCGCTTGCCACTCATACAGTGGTTCCTCACAATCACTTCTCCGTAGGCTGCATGGAGGTGTTTCACTTTTTATACATGTGTACCACTCTTTTTATTTTAATTTTTTTTTTTTTTTGAGACGGAGCCTTGCTCTGTCGCCCAGGCTGGAGTGCAGTGGCCGGATCTCAGCTCACTGCAAGCTCCGCCTCTCGGGTTCACGCCATTCTCCTGCCTCAGCCTCCCGAGTAGCTGGGACTACAGGCGCCCGCCACCTCGCCCAGCTAGTTTTTTGTATTTTTTAGTAGAGACGGGGTTTCACCGTGTTAGCCAGGATGGTCTCGATCTCCTGACCTCGTGATCCGCCCATCTCAGCCTCCCAAAGTGCTGGGATTACAGGCTAGAGCCACCGCACCCGGTCTATTTTTAATTTTTTAGAACTTTTTTAGAGACACGGTCTCCCTAGGCTGCCCAGGCTGGCCTTTAACTCTTGGGCTCAAGGGATCCTCCTGCCTCGAGCTCCCAAAGTGCTAGGATGACAGGTGTGAGCCACTATGCCCCACCTTACCACTTTTCCTTGAAGGCAAGGACAGTGCTCAGTATTCTGTCGATAACTCTCTAAGTGCAGTCCCCATCTGTACAGTAAGAGCTGAATGCTAACACTGCAGGATGATCCGGCTGGATGCGGCATCTGAGATCACTCACTATATGGAGGGGTGGATGGAGGGAGGAATTCAGGGAGAGCTAGAAGGAGGCATTGATGTGCCCGAAGCAGTGCCTGGCATGTAGTAGGTCCAAAAACTATTTGTTGAATGAATGACTGGTGCTTCTCACCTCACTGCAGGCCCGACAGGACAAGGACAGGGATAGAAGGAGGAGCTGCACCTCCCTTTTGGCGGCGATCCCAGGGAGACAGATGTTCGCCCTCTTGAGTTGTATAATTTAAGGGACCATAGATGTGTAGTAGCAAAACACAATGGCACATTTGTTCAAGTACCAAAGACCTCCAGCTCCCCAAGGGGGACAAATAGCAAAATAAGCCACAGCCACTAAAAGTGAGGCAAGGCGCCAAGAGGGCACACTTCCCTGCTGCATGGGAGGATGAGCCTCAAATGTCCTGGAGTGGTCGGGGACTGTCAGAGACCAAGGCTGGCAGAGCCCTGGCCCTGAGCGCCACAGCCTGAGACCCTGAGAGGATGCTGCCCCGGACATGAGCCTCCCTGGTGAATGCCATACACACACGAAATGAAACTCTCTAAGGCCCAGGGGGGATCCTGCAGGAGAGGAAAGCCCCGGACTCGAGGACAGGAGGGTCAGGCTGCCTGTTATGGTCGTTCTGGCCATTGGTGGGCTGGAATGTCCAACGCTGGCGGCTGCAGGACGGTGAGGGCTATTCCCATTGTCAAGAGGTGGAAGGGAGGGTCTGAAGCAGGGTGCTGCAGCGTGATTGGAAGCTGGAGAGGCACGGAGGGCATGTCCGGAGCTGCAGGGTACAGTCTAACACTTTCCCCTCCTTCCCTTCCCTCACTCTGCTGGCTCTGGGTAGAGAGGGCCTCAGAAGGCACATGGCCTCCCCTCCTCCCTCCAGCAGCCCCGCCCCGGCCACTCCTGAAGGCCGAATGGTTTAGAGTTTTCTCTTCAGTTTTCAGGGACACATTGGAAAGAGGACCAGGATCGGTCAAAAAAACCCCAATGCCCCAGCTTGCAGGTGGGCGGAGGGCTGGCATGGCACATGGCTGACAAAACCTCCCAGCCTCCGGGATTTTCTCCCATTCAGTCCATTCTGTTCACGTGGTGAACATCGATTGAGCTACTACTCTAAGGCAGCCACTGGGCTGGGCCTGGGAATAAGCAGAATGCGGTTCCAGCTCCAAACACTCATGACTGCTGGGATCCCATAACAAGCTGTGGAGGATGCCCAGAGGCTAGGGGTCTAATTTCTCCTGAGGGAGTCCTGGAAGGCTTCGTGGAGGAGGGGACACAGTGTGCTGCCTCCGGGAGGGGTGCGCAGCAGCTTGCCAGGAGAAGAACTTGCAGACAGAAGGAGGGAGGGAGCTGACGTCAGCCCAGGGTCGGGAGAATGCGAGGTGTTTATGAGAATTGGTGGGAAATTCAGTGTGGCAGAGGTAAGGAGGGTCTGGGGCCGGGGGTCGGGAAGAAGAGGCTGGAAGGGGTGTTGGGCTGGAGTCCAGGGACTTCAGGAGTTCCCCTTACAGCCTCACGGATGCCCGCTGTGGTCATCGTCACCGAAGGGCCCATCCCTGGGGTCCATAGCACCTCCTTCAATGCCTAGCGGTGATCTTCCGAGCCTTGGTTTCCTGGTTTCTAATGCTCTGTGTGTGTGCGTGCACGTGTGTGCATGTGTTGGGGGTAGGGGGTATGCTGTCGCCTCTCTCCCGCCTCTCAGGGTTGCAGCGAAGCTTCCAACCCCCACCTCTCAGGCAAGGCCCGCCCTGGGTGCTGTGTCCACCGGCGGCCGCACGGGGGCGCTGAGGCCGCGGCTGGAAACGGAGTAGTCCCTTCCGTGCGACTCCTGGGAGCTCAGGCGGAGAGAAATGTACATAAATTACCGGGAATATTTATATGCGATTTCATACCTGGTGGAGGGCTTTCATATCCACCATCTCATTTAATCTCCAGGAGGCCCCCAAGAGGCCCCTGCCTTTGGCTGCCAGCAGGGCTGGCCTTTAAACCATCTCGGAAGGGAGTTATTAAACCTTAAAGGTTGTCAGCAGGCGGGGACTCTGGTCCCTGGCACTGAACTCATTTCCCTGGGAAAGGATGGGGAGGTGGTGGAGGGTGAGTTGGTGCTTTATTTATTTATTTATTTATTTATTTATTTATTTATTTTTGAGACAGAGTCCTGCTCTCTTGCCCAGGCTGGAGTGCAGAGGTGCAATCGCTGCTCATGGTAGCCTCAACCTCTCAGGCTCAAGTGGTCCTCCCGCCTCAGCCTCCCAAGCAGCTGGGACCACAGGCATGTGGTTATATTCTTTTTTTCTTTTCTTTCTTTCTTTTCTTTTCTTTTGTAGAAATGGGGTCTCCCTATGTTGCCTAGGCTAGTCTCAAACTGCTGGCCTCCAACGATCCTCCTGCCTTGGCCTCCAAAGTACTGGGATTACAGGTGTGCACTACTGTACCCGGCCCACTGCTGTTTTTTGGAAAGTGAAGATGGTGAGTTTAAAGGGATGCTGGTTACTTACTGTCCCCCTGGACCCCAAAGAGTCCGTGAGTCCCTGAGAGGTAGACAGGTTTAACATTCTCCCCACTGCTGAGCTAGAAGCCACCAGGCAAGGCAGGGCGGACTGGAACAGGGGTTCTCATGCCCCACGTGGTTGACCTTTGTAGATGGAGTTACTTTCACTTTCTGTTTAGGGGCTGGGACTGTTCTGAGCTTTGTAAGCATCCCAGGCTGGTACTCCGTTAATGCTAGAACCTCACAACTGTGAGAAACAAAAATGTCTCTAGACATTGCCAAATGTCCCCGGGGGAAAGCAGGGCAGTGCCCCTTGTGCTTGAGAGCCGCTTGACTAGGAGGCCAAAACCACGAGGACATTCTTTGTCATAATGGGTATCTGTCTTCTGTACCTATGGCCAGGTAACTCATGGGCTCAGGCTACTGTCTTATTTGCACCTAGCCTAGGGTTTCAAAGCTTTTCTGTGGATGCTGTAAGGAGGACCGCCCTGGGTGCTGCCTCTGCCTGGGCTCTACGGGGGGCAAGGTGGGGTGCAGTCGGCTCTAGTTACCAGGAGCATCGTGGCAGCCCCATTGGCCAGGACCCTCGTCCCCACTCTGGGAGGCACAGCACTGATGTCAGCCCAGAGCGGGTGGGAACACCTTTTCCAGTGGGAAGCCTCGGGATGGGGTGGGGAGCTGGGGTGGGAGAAGGAAGGAGAGGCATGGGGCCTGTCTTTAAGGTACCTCTAGGTTCCTAAGTGGTAAAGATGCAGAAATAAGATCCTGCCCCTGTTCCCACCTCAAGGGACACACAGACTAGTAAGGGACCCAGTGACGAGGTTGGGCCCTAGGTGTAGGAAGTGTTTGGAATTGTGGGACCAGATGGAGGCCATGGGGGTCTGATATAGGCTGGGGAAGGGCTGGGCCAGGAAAGTCCTCTAGGAGTAACATTGATGGTGATTCACAGAGAGGAGCAGAATATTGCTTTGTCCTGAAAACCCACCCAACACAACCAGAGGAGCCTGCTAGAGCGTGCAAACCCTCGTAGCAAGTAAGTTCCAGGGTGACAAGAATGAAAGAACCATCAGATTGAGTGGCATCAAATCAGGTGGTCTTCCTGGAGGAGGCAGTGTGATGGGGTAGGAGGAAAACTGTTCCTGGAGGCAGGCAGTCTTAGATTCAAAATCAGTGTCTGGCTGGGAGAATGTCAATGAATCTCCTGAGAGCTCTGAGCCTCGGTTTCTGTTGAGTATTAATTCCTGCTGGGATTCAGGCCGCTGTGGCCAGTTGTGTGCAGCTTGCACAACTGTCTGCGGCTGCCCTGCTTATGAGAAAACAGAAGGCACCAAGAACAGAAAAATGCTTAGCCCAGCACCCGGCTCTGTGGCTGCTAATTGAATGTAAGTCCTAGGCAAGAGTTGCCAATGGATTTGGAGGAAAAAACCTGCAACCTGCAACCTAGAGGAGGTGTGGGCTGGAGTGGCGAGCAGCCCCGCTTGCCCAGACCTGTGAGGCAGGGTAGGGCCACTCCGAAAGCCCCGCACCATCTCCTGCACGGGGGGCAGAGTCAGTTTTGACAGAAGACACCTCCGCCCCACTTTTCCCCACTGGCCCCTTTCACTCCAAGAGCTGCTTCCTGCGTGTCCAGTCTGCTAGCGCAGAAAGGACAGATGAGGCCGTATTCACCAACAGTGAGGAGAATAACACCGAGGCAGAGGAGAATGCGTTTTCAGTGTGAGGGACAAGCACCCCTCCTATCGATCAACATGTGCCAGGGTGAGGGGACATCAGAGTGAGAAAAAAGGGCACAGACCCTTCAAAGAGGGCCGGCCTATCAGCTCGTATATATCTTGCATTATGCGGAGGGAGAGAGGAAATCAATAGAGCTGTCAGCTGCGTCATGCATTCAGCCTCACAGACGTCCCCTCCTCAGGATGCTCCAGACGGATGCTTCAAATTAAAAACCGGGGGGGGGTGCGCTGGGGGTGCTGGGAGACAAACACCCTGACAGGCCAGAGGAAAAGGAGGGAAGCCATTGAAGATCTGGGGAAATTAAAGTCCATAAATCACGAGCGTCCCGGGCGTGAATGACATGAGCGTCTTAGCAGTAGTGCTGGACGGGTTGTAGGTCCTTCTGCCAGGCAGAGTCCCCCAGGGGGAGGCTGGTGACCCAGTGGGCGGGCTTCTCTCCTCCAGGCTTGGACTCCCTGCAGGAGGGAGGGGAGGGCGGGGCAGACCTCTGGCCTTGCTGGTGTTAGTGCCGGGATGGAGGGCGTGGGTGTGGGCTGGACTGGGGCATGGCATGGCGGCATAGGGTGAAATGGAGGTGATCTCATAACCGGATTGTGTGGGGGGAGTGTCCTTTGGGTGGGCGTACGTGGATGGGTTGCAGCATCTCGACGGAAGCACAAGGCTTTGCTCCCTGGTAACTGCTCCTGGGAAGCTCTGGCATCTGAAGGCTGAAGCTGCGTCCCTGACCCTTTCCCTGGGCCGCAGGAGTCGACCCCATGGAGAGCGCCGCAGCCTGCACTTTGTCAGCCCTGCCTGCTTCTCCTCTGCACCCCCGCTGCTTCCTGTCTGTCTGCTCCTTCCACTCTCCCTGTCTGTGAGCCCGTCCTGCCTGCTGGGCACCTGCTCTTCCCTCTGCCACAGAGGCTCCTGCCCTCTGTCCCTCTCATTTTGCAGTGGAGCCCGCAGGTGCTGCTTTGTTCCCTTATTTCTCTTTTCTTTTCTTTCTTTCTTTCCTTTTTTTTTTTTTTTTTTGAGCTGAAGTTTCAGTCTCATTGCCCAGGCTGGAGTGCAATGGCGTGATCTCGGTCACTGCAACCGCTGCCTCCCGGGTTCAAGCGATTCTCCTGCCACAGCCTCCTAATTAGCTGGGATTAGAGGCACACACCACCACACCCAGATAATTTTGTATTTTTAATAGAGATGGGGTTTTGCCACGTTGGCCAGGCTGGTCTGGAACTCCTGACCTCAGGTGATCTGTCCACCTCAGCCTTTCAAAGTGCTGGGATTACAGGCATGAGCCAATGCGCCTGACTCCTACTTTGCTCCCTCTTTCCAGCCGTGGGCCAGCGGCCCTTGTGAGGAGGCCTGAGTGGTCGTGGGTCCCCTCTGTGTCCTGCCCAGGGATGGCCAGCCTGGCTTGGGGTGTGAGAGAGCTGGTGCAGAGGCTCGGGAGAGAAATGTTCGAGGGGTAGAAGGACTGAGTAACTGTCCCTGACCCCCTGAGATAACTTTGTGTCACCCTCACCCTGGGCTCATCTGTCCATGGGGGCCCAACAGAGAAGAAAACCAGAGAAGAAACAACCGGGAGAGAAGGGGCTGCCTTCCCCAAATGCTGTTTGCCCCCCACTTGAGGGATCCTTTGAGGTCTTAACAGGAAGCAGAGGCACAGTCAGACTGTGTGCTTTGAGGGTAATTTTCATAAAAGGTCTGTTTGCAAGCGTGGGCAGGTGCAGGACACCAGAGAGGAGAGTGTGGAGCTCCAGCGAGTGTCAACGGGGACTGTTACTACCATGGGGGAGGGGAGGGGTCACCAGACCCAAGACAGCTCTGCTGCGAGGAGGGACCTGCCTGATGGGGCTGGGGCTTTCAGCCGAGCAACGCCCTCAGCCCGTGGCTGCCTCTCAGGGGAATGAATGCATCGAGCTCACAATCTTCCCTTCCTTCTCTCAGTGTCCTGCCTGGGCACCCCATTGGCTGAGCCCAACAGGTTCAAGGCGGTCTTCCTTGGGCACAGAGCAAGATATCCAACCCACCCCCTCCCCAGCACAGTGCAAGGAGCCCATCAAAGGTGGCGTCGGGATGGCTTTGTGAGAGATCTTCTCTCCCCTTTCTGGCCACAAGGCAGAGAAGTCCCCCAGGTCTTGGGCTGGCACTCTTCCATCCTGTCCCACTAGCTCTCAGGAGCCCTTCTCTCCCTTATCCCCTAAATCCTGGCCATGCCTTTAGCTGAGATTGGAGGCACACTCTAGCTAGCCTGCACAACACACAGATGAGCCCAGACACACCTCTCCAGTGCACAGTCCAGACACACCTCTCCAGTGCACAGCTGAGCCCAGACACTCCTCTCCAGTGCACAGCTGAGCCCACACCCTCCCAGTGCACAGCTGAGCCCAGACACTCCTCTCCAGTGCACAGCTGAGCCCAGACACTCCTCTCCAGTGCACAGCTGAGCCCAGACACTCCTCTCCAGTGCACAGCTGAGCCCAGACGCACCTCTCTAGTGCACAGCTGAGCCCAGACATACTTTCCAGTGCACAGGTGAGCTCGCATGCACGCACAGTTACATGCCCGCCAAGGCATCTGGAGAAACAGATAGGCCTGAGGTTGCTTGGTGGTGTTACACTGCCTAGGACAAGTTCTACCAATTCAACTGGTGACCATGTTTCCAAAAGCAATTACCAGAGTGCTGCAATGCCTCCCCAGGTGAGGAGATTAAAGACACGGCTCCTGGCTAGAAGCAGGGACTCGAGGGGTCCGTGTGCTGCATACATCAGAGACAAGCCTGCGGGTACCTGCCTGTGAGCACACACGTGCTTAGAGCAGCCAGACCCGGGAGGGATGTGGGGGAAGGAGACACACCAGGAACGCACCAGCAGAGGCCAGCAGCCCCTCAGCACAGGTGGGGCCTGGGTCACTGTGTTCCGTCTTTCTTCTGTTTTCTTCTCTGGTGTGTGCAAGCAACAATAACAAAACAATCTGTGCGAATCTAGACTCGATGCTAGGGGATGGGGAAGAGATGTACCTGCTGGTTAAAAAGGGAGGAAGTGGCTGCCATTGGCCTAAGTGGTAAGAAACCACCTCTTCCTGAAAGCTCACCAGCAGCTGCGTGTTCCCATGTCACAGGAATCGCAACATCTTTGGAAAAAGAAGGATGGAGGTAGAAGTGACCCTAACCCCTAACCAGTCTCCTGCCTGGCTGAGTCTTGGGGAGGAAGGGTTTCTGCAGAGGGCATGGCTGCTCTCCACAGTCTGGGCCTCCATGGCT